AAGGTTGCATTAACAGAGGTAGAGTCTAAATGAAGGGAGGGGAGACCTGCTCCAGGCTGAGCTCTGTCAGTGAAGGAGAGATGGGCAAGTACAGCGGGGCATGGTGGTGTGCACTGAGTGATGAGGTTTGGAAACGAAGGAGTGGAACGGCTGAGTGTTCCATGTAGGACCCTCTACACGATGTGTGGAAGGGCAAAGGTAAGTTCTGTGGGGCTCAGGGCTTGGTGCTGCCTGGGCTAGGGGTGAAGGAAGGCAGGGGCAGGCTGAGCCGTGCCTTGTCTCTGGATGCCCCCTGTCCTCCTCTCCAGCTCTTGCTCCACCTCTCACTGCCCCTCCCCCGACACCCCTCCCCCTGGTGCTCTTCCTTGCTGGGCACACCCTCCCTCTGCTGATCTCTCCCTGAGGAGGCTTTCAACGCCACCTGTATCTGACAACTCCTGAACTCATATCTTCTGCCCAATCTTGTTCTCCAACACCAGACTCATCTCTCTAACTCCTGAGTGACATGTCACCCTGGATGTCTAGCAGCCCCAGATGGAGCACGTGACCCCCCCCACCTACTGCTCCTGCAGCCTGCCCAGGCCAGCGCCCGACAACCCTGTCCTCCAGCCAGCTCGGCCCAGACCTGGGGGACGCACACCCACCCTGGCTCTCACCCACGTCCCGTGCAGCAACAGATACTTCACGGCCAGCGTGGCCTTCAGCATGTCCCCAGCAGTCCCCATGTCCCGCCACCCCTCAGCGCACCAGGGACCGGGCCCGCACCCCCTCTCGCCCAGGTCCTTCGGGGCCTGGGAGGAAAGCCAGCTTCTCCCTGGCCGTTCTCGCCTGCGTGACCCGCTCTCCCTGGGGCCTTAGTCTGTCCGTGAACGTGGCTCACTAGTTCCCGCTCTTGCCCTTCCTGCTCTGGCCGCCGACCCACGCGACTCTCCTTCACTTCATCTGGGCCTCAGCTCACCGCTGCCTGCAGAGAGGCCACCTCGGCCGACTGACCATCAGTCCCAAAGTCCCCCGCTGCCATCTCACCAGATGGTGCCCTCAGTGGCCCGGGACAGCACAACGGGGCGCTGCACTCAGCACGGGGCCTGGATGCAGTAGGTGTTCCTAAAGATTGTGTGAAATGACAGAGTGGGGCAGGCCTCGGGGGCCAGGAAACAAGGCGGAGGGGACAGTGGGAGGTTTCCCAGTCCAGCCAGTCCCAAGGACCTGCCCTGAGGGCCGACCGTGGGCATGCTGGGCCGTGAGGCAGCTCTGGCTGGTGGGAGTAAGCCCAGCCTCCACCTCGCCCCGGGATGCCCACCTCCAGGAAGCACGTCCTCCTGCACCGTCAGGGTGGCCTGTGGGACAACAGGGTGCTGTGGAAATGACTGAGTGTGGCTTGGGTCCAGGTCAGGACAGCCATGGCGCCTTCTGCTCTGCTCTCTGGGGCAAGTGGGCCGCCCTGTGGCGGTAGGTGCTCAGCGCCCTAAGGAGGGGTACGTGTGGGAGGAGCTGAGGCCGCCAGCCCTGCCCTGCCCCGTCAGCCGCGTGGGTGAGCCACCTAGGAGGCCACTTCAGAGGGCCCGGTCCCAGCTGCCAACGCGACTGCAGTGTCCTGAGGGATCCTAGGCCGAGGAGTGGGGCGGCTCCTGGGCTCCCGTGTTGGAGGAGAAACTGGTGGTGACGTCACCAGCCGGGAGGGGTGGACTCCCGCCGCTGAGCTCCCAGGCTCTCATTCTGACAAAGTCAAGGTCTGACTTGTTTCCAGCCTAAGTTTGTGCCCAGGGCAACTGTTTGAAAAGCGTGACATTCAGTCAGCTGGCTCTCTGGTGGACCAGACTGTAGGCACTGGCTGCCCAGGACGGGTGCCTGACACAGACCCTGCTGTGGGTCCCTCGGCTGCTTGAAGGCGGCCAGCTAGAGCAGGATTCCTGGGCCCTTCCTGAGAGTGGACTCTACATGAGCCCAGGATGTGGCCACTGCAGCTGCTTGGGACAAGGGCACAGATTTGAGGGTGAGGAGCACAGTAGGGACCTCGATCTGTGACCACATCCCATTTAAACTTGCTTGGCCTCAGCTGAGGTTTTGCTCAGCACTCATCTGTGAGGAAACACAGAGGCGAGGACTAGAGGCTCCTACACCCTCAGAACAAAGAGCCTAAGGAGGCCGATCATAAAGCTGTCTTTGAAAAAAGCCAGATGGGATCCCTACACAGTTCCTCTAAACCCGTGAAAGTCCCCTCATCCTCACTCAGCCAATGCTGATCTCATTAATTTTTTCTCCAGCATCCCCAGCTCCCTGTGGCCACAGGACCTTTGCCCATGCTGTCCCCCTACTTGAACATTTCCCTCTGATCTCTTTACACACCTAGCTGCTTCTATTGATTCAAGTCTTCATTCAAATATCACTTCTTCAGAGGCCTCCCCTGACCTGCCTCTAAGGCTGTCTCCAAACACTCTCAGTGATTTCCTTCAAAACACTTATCAGGGTCTCTAGTTATGTTGCTTTGTTTCTTATGTTCTTGATTAATGTCTTCCATGCTCTGTGGGCTCTGAGAGACAAGGAACCACATGCCTGTTTCATTTTCCACTGTATCCCTGGTGCCAAGCACAGAGCAGGTACATAGTAGGTGCACAATAGAAAGTTGCTCAATGAAGACAAACATGGTGATGCACGCCTGGAACCCCAGTGACTTTGGAGGCTAAGGCAGGGGGATCTCAAGTTCAAGAGCATCTCAGCATCTTGGTGAGACCCTGTCTCAAAATAAATAATAAAAAGGGCTGGGCATGTAGTTCATTGTCGCGCACTCCTGGGCTCAATCCCTAGTACCACAAGGAAAAAACCCGCTGCTTAATGAATGAGGTAGTCGGAGGGAGGGAGCTGGAGGATCTGAGCTGCCCAATGGGAGAGAAGGGGTTGGTTGTCTCCGTGTGCCTTTCTGGCTTCTCCATGTCTGCATTGCAGATGGGCTGGGCAGGTGTTTCCATTCCCCAGGTTCTTCCTGAAAACACGGTCCCTAGCCTCCTTCCCTGCTTGACACCTTGAAGCTCAGAGGAGACACATCCTCATCCAAGACATCTTCCCTAACCTTGAAAATGGGGGATAAATCCCCCTCTGGCCTCACGATGGGAACTGCCACCCTGAGGAGTCACCGGCTGCCCCAAGTCTCCCTCTGAACCAGAAGCCAGGACCCTGCAGAGAGCTGGCACTCTCAATGCTGCCACATGAAGAGGGTGACACATCCTGGCCTGCCTATGTTCTCCTGTGGTCCCGGAGTTCCCCGTGGTTACTGCTGTTCATTCTCAAAAGTGTCATGGTTTGGATGAGGGACTATACGTCACTCCAAGCAGGAAGGACTGTGGGACACAGGGCAGAGGAAGAGGGTCTGAGCATCTTCCTTGGATTCCTGAGCAAAGGCCCTCTCAATCCTAGAGGAGTCAGGGCCACCACACATTTACCTAGGAAGAGCCTGATCTGGGGGGACAAGAGGATGACAGGATGATGCTGGCGGCCAGCTCCCTCCCTCCACCTCCAGGCCTCCTCCAAGCCCCCTGCCCTGCTCCAGCTCCTTCTGTTGTTCGCCCCGGGGGGGGGGGTGCTGGGTAAAGTCCTGCTGATGCAAGAGGAGGACTGGAATGTGGCTTCCAGAATGTGGGCTCCAGGAATCCAGGGGGGCAGGGGTAGTGTTTCCAGGACAATCAAGGGGGACAGAAGCACCAGCCCAGCCCATCTGCAGTGAACTCCTAGGCCAGAACTCACTGGAGGTCTGACACCGACAAAGGCCGCAGGCACTTTCTGAGTGGCCCTCTTTCCTTCATGTGCTTCCAGGGCCCAATCTTCCAGACCTGCTGTACCTCAATTAGATTTAAGAAAATTAAATCGGAAAAGTTCAGTCATACCAGCCACATTTCAAGTACTCAATGGCCATGTCTGGTTAGTGACCATAGGGACAGTGCAGATAGGCCATTTGCCTAAGTGCAGCCTGCTTTGAGGACATTGTGGGCCTAGAATATGGCTTCCACATGGAGCTGGAGGGGGACAGGGATGGGGTCTCCATCCTCTGCAGTCCCCACAGAAGCCTTTCTCCAGCCTCTGGGTTGTGGAGGTTGCTCAGCTCCAAACCCGTCACATCCTGTCCCAGCTCCTGCGCTCCCTTTGCTAAGTGGGCGCAGGCTGGCTCGATCAAGGTCACACACCAGGTGGAGGCCACGGAGGGTTCTGGTGTCAGGACTGCCCGAGAGCCATAGACCCCTTGGAAAGCCAGAGTCAGGCCACCTCGGGGCGGTGCTGGCTGGCAGGAATTTTTGCTGATGAATAAAAGTCAAAGCCACCCTGGGGCGGATGCTTCTGAGGCCCTTGAGCAGGGCTGGCGGGGGCAGCTGGCCACAGCGGCAGAGTGGGTGCCTGTCAGCCTCATGGACAGCTCCCGGGGCAGCTGTGGGCTGGAAAGGGGACAGGGGCAGACACTGATCTTCCTGTTCCAGCAGGGTCTGGCTGGACTCCACTTGGCTGCCATTTTAAAGCAGAATCTGCTGTGCTAGAGGGGCTGGGACATCTAGTCCACTAGCTCATCGTGTGGCCTCAGGCCAGTGGCCCCTCCATTTCAGGTTTCTGTTTGAAAATGAAAACGATGCTCCCAGCTGTGTGGGGCCTCGTGAGGGGGCAAGTGGGACAGCACTGGCCACCAGTGGTGCTGAAGGGGGGGAAGAGGACAGGTCTGGACCCCATCCAAGCTGGGATAAATGTCGCTCCACTCTGCCCAGTGGGGGGACCTCGCTGAGCGAGTTTCCTCCCCTGAGAAGTCTGGATGCTCCACTCGCCACGCAGCAGGATATTATTCTGCCATAGAAAGAAATGGAGTCCTGATACATGTCACCAGAGGGAAGAACCTTGAGGCCACCAGGCTAAGTGACAGAAGACAGACACAGAAAGCCTGCCGGTACCATCCCGTTTACACGACACGTCCAGAGAGGCAAATCCACAGGACAAAAAGTAGATCACGCTGGGCGTGGGGCACGTACCTGTGATCCCAGCTGCTCCGGTGGCTGAGGCACGAAGATAGCAAGTTCAAGGCCAGCCTCAGCAACTTTGTGAGACCCTGTCTCAAAACAAAAAAATGAAAAGGCCGGGGTGTCGCTCAGTGGTAGAGCCCTTGCGAGGCTCCGGGTTCAATCCCCGAGGGGATTAGTCGTTTCCAGGGACTGGGAGGAGCGAGTGGGCAGTGACTGTCACAGGTGTGAGGTCTCTGTTAGGAGTGAGGAGGGAGTTCTGGAACAGAGGGTGGGGGATGGGTGCACAGCACGGGAGGATTCTTAATGCGCGAAATTCTAACTTCAAACAGGTTCAAATGGCACATTTTATGTGTGTCGTTTTTAAATTTAAAAAGATGTCTCACCTGCAGGGCATCCGTGAGCCTCAGTGAGGGTGTGTGCAGAGTACTCAGTGAAGGTTCTGGCAGGTGCTCAGTAAAGAGGAGCTGGATCGTACAGGAGGAACCCCGGAGCCTGTGAGCCAGGATGTCTCTGAAGCTTCTTATGCTGTGCTTCCTGCATGAACAGGAGCACCTGCTATGAATGACCTCGTGGACGCCCCTGGCAGCCATCTGAAGTGGGTCTTATTAGTTTCAGTGTTATATAGAGAGAATTGGGACCCAGAAAGAAATGATTTGCACAAGGTCACACGAGTGCCAGAGCTGGGATTTGAACCCAGGCTGTTTGGCTCCAGAGCCTGCACTGCCTGCCTGCACTGCCTTTCCACTTTCAGGAAACACAGCCAATTTCCCACCACCTCACATAGCTCCAGGCTTGGGCTGCGCTCAGGGGACACAACCTCTAACTCCTCGCTCCCCAAAACCACCCACCACCTGGCTGGGAGAGGACCATTAGGAGGGGGTCATGCAGGGGACACAGGGCCTGCCCTCTGACCTCAGAGCACTGACTGTGGGGCAGGTGGATCCTAGAGGCCACCTGCTTTGGCTTGTTCTATTCCAGCCCCCACTGAGGGACCATCCTGGAAGGTCGAGCTGGCAAACAGCAGAACAAAATGATCAGAAGGCAGCGATCGCCAGCACATTTAATTCAATTCCTCCAGCATTTATGGGGCCTGCTCTGACTCATATGGTCCCAGCCCTTCAAGAGCTTGGGGCCAAGTGCAGGAGGCAGAAATACACACAGCCATTAGACAACACAGAACAACAAATCCCAGGAAGCAGCCCAGCCAGGGTGAGCCCAGCCAAGGGAGAGTCAGACTGGGCACCAGGAGGACTCCCCAGACCAGGTGGCATTTCATCCAGATCTCGGGGACAAGTTAGATTTCAACAGGTAAAGGCTTAGGGAAGAGCATTTTTCTAAATGGGAAAAGCAGACAAATTCATGGTCAAGGGTGAGAGACAGGGAGGATTAGGGGACAGAAAGTAGGCCTTGGGGTGAGCGTGGGCTTGGAAAGGGAGGGCCAGGTGCCTGGAGTAAATTTAAACTGGAGGCCATCAGCCGTCGGGATAGAGGAGGACCTAGGAGGCCACAGCACCGGGAATTCCACTTCTAGGAACTAACCACTCAGCAGCCTTGCCTCTTGCACATGGGGAGTGACGGACGTGAGGGGATTTCCTTTTCTTTCTTCTATGACAGAGCCTTGATTAGTTGCTCCAGGCTGGCTTGTGTGGGGTTCTTTTCTCTTTTTTTAGGAAAAAAAAAAAAAAAAAGGTTTATTTTGGCTCACATTTTCAGAGGTTTGAGTCCATGGTGGGCTGGCTCCGTTGTTTTGGGCCTGAGGTGAGGTAGAACAACATGGCGGAAGGGCGTGGTGGAGGGAAGCAGCTTACCACAGGGCAGCCTGGAATGCTGGGGGCTTTTGTGGATTTTTTTTTTCTTAAAATGTTTATAATAGCAAAAGCCTGAAAATGACCCAAACACCTGTACTTGGGGGATTGGGTAAACTGGGACCTGCACACTCTGGAAGGCTAGGCAGTTAGGCGCTCCCAAACTGCCTGTCATGAGAACTGCAAGGAGCAGAACAGGGCACAGTAACCGTCTTGGTTTGGTTCTAGAAGAAGCAGACCCCTAGACATGAACTCGAGTCTGTTGGGGAGGTGGTTCCCAGAGCACAGTGGGGTAGCTAGGGGTGGGGTAGGAAAGAGAGGCTGCACCGCTCAGCTTGGGCACGGAGGCTCCAGGCTGCGGGGACGCTGCTCAACAGGCTGAATATGAATCTGAGCTGTCCCACCGAGGGGCAAGGGAGCCGGGGTTGATATTCTTTGCTTCCTTCCACGATGGCTGAGGGCTGCTCCTGGGACTTAACTACCCAGCACATTCACCAGCCTCATTCAGGCTGAAAGAAAGCCCTTTGCTGGAAGGTTCCAAGTGCTTCCAGAAGGAAGCAGTGGGCATACAGCAGAAGGGTGAGTTGGAGGCAGCAGGGCCAGGGCACCCAGGGCATTTGCTGCAGTATGGCACCTATTGTCCACAAGAGAGGGCAAAGGGTATTATTCATAGTTGTTTATGTGTGGACGGGTCCCCGAGAAAGTAGGAACAGGGTGGGTGGGAGAAAGGGTAGGATGGGGACTTTTTACTCTGTTTCTTCAGAATTAGAAAGAAAAAAATTAACCTTTATCTTGGAATCATTTTAGATTATTTCCAGTTGCAAAGACAGTACAGAGAGTTCCTGCATAACCCTCACCTGGTTTCCCCTAATGTTATCATTTTACATAACAATGGTACATTTGTCAAAACTAGGAAATTAACATTGGTACATTACTATTAACTAAACTCTAGGCTTTATTTGGTTTTCAGCAATTTCACTAATGTCCTTTTTCTGTTTCAGCATCCAATCCAGGATATGACATTGCATTTAGTCCTTAGAATTTTGATCAGTGCAAATATACTGTTAATTGCAAAAATTTATTTTAAAAGAATAATGAACCATCTCCTGGGAGCCGTCAGAGGCTTCTGAGTGGGCCTGTCCTGACCCAGGGGCCCCTGGACAATGCCTCAGCCCTGGAGGCCCAGGGAAGGGGGAGCCCTCTCCAGGGGGCTCCTAACTCTTCATGAGGAGGGGTGGCTTCCCCAGACACAGGCATTTGCCTGTGTCTCTTCCCTAAGAGGCAAAGGAAGGACGAAGCCTGTAGCAGATGCTGTGGGAGCTGCACCCGCACCCCCAAAAGACCGCCAACCGTGCTTCTCCCTGTAGGAGAAAGCTTGGCTCTGCCCAGGGAAAGCGGGGACCCTGGGCAGCTGAGGCCCCCAGGAGCCACCCTCAACCAAAGGCAAACGGAGCTGAGGGATGGACACCCAGCGTCCTATTCCTGGGCTGTGTGTTCTGGGGTTTTCCAGGGGTCCCTGCTAGGCTTGAGCCCTGCTGTCCACAGTGGTAGCTGCCTGGATCACAATCCTTTCCTGACCCCCTTTCTTCCCCTCCCCACTTCTAGAGAACACCTCCCCAATGAACTTCCTTGTCTCAGGGTCTTGAGGAAAGCCCTACACCTGCCCTGACCTGGGCCCCAGGGCTGTCCCTGCCTCCCCCTCCTCACAGCCTCCCTCCTGGGACACGCCCTGATGATCCAGACGCCCCCTTGCCACTTCCTCTCTTGTCATGTTCTTTCCCTTGATTGACAAGGGAACTCCGGGTTACCCCGTGGCCCAGCCCAAATGCCACTTCCTTTAGCAGTATTTCTCTGACCTTTGGGGGTACCCAGTGCTCCAGTCACCCCTCCAGCAGCTCCAGAATCTTCTTTCCCACTCTGAGCCCCTTGAGGCCAAAGACATTTCTGAGTCATGTCTGCATCCCCAGCACAGGGTCTGGTATACAGCAGATGCTTAATAAAAGCCAGATGAATGAATGACTGAAACAACGCAGAATGATCACTGGGGACCACATTTTAAAGGGGAACACCACTCACTGAGGGTCTCCTGGGCACCGGCCCCTCTAACAAAGGACGTCACTTTACCTCCCCCGAACTCTAAACCAAGGTGTTAATAATTCTGATTGAAAGACAGGAGACCAGGGCTCAGAGGTAAGGAACCTGACTGTCAAGTAGCAGAGCTGGGGTTCACACCTGGGCCTGCTGGATTCCTGCGGGCTCCCTGCTGCTCTCCACCCCACTCTGCCCTAACCCACCATGTGCTCTCAGGCTACCCCTGCCAATCTGTGGGCCTCCGTTTCTCAGAGATTGGGGCTGGCTGGAACAGGGGTCTTTAGGTGAAGGAGACTGAGTCCTGCCCCTCATCTTCCAGGGATGGGCAGAGGGGTCACGCACAGGACTTGGATTACAATGTTCAAGGGTCGCAGCCTTCCACAGCATCAGCCACCCTGCCATGAGCCACACACCCACTTTTAAGAGAGGAGTCAACGCCATTGGGCCAGCCCTGGGCCAGCCCTGGGCGGTGCCTGTCACCCTCCCCAGGCCTTTGACTGAGACAAACATCTGTGTCTCGGGAGCAGCGGTGACTCATCTACCGTGACCTCTGGATGAACTTTTCACCTCCACCCAACTCCATGCCAAGGTGAGGGGCTGGATGGGTGGCACAGGGGCTGAGCAACCATGGCGGTCCCAGCTTCTAACAGCCACCTCCAGGCTGAGCCTGTGGGTGCCCCCGACACACCCCCATCATGGCTCTGCTCATTGCCTGAGCACCTCTGAGGAGGCCGAGCCCCCAGGCTGTGCCTACCTTCCACCCTTCTCTCAGGGACTAGCCTGGTACAGTTCCCTGGCCCCGCCAGGCCCCCAGCTGGGAGCACCTGTGAGCCCAGATGTTTTGATGTGGGTGTGTCAACTTTGGGGTGTCCTCTTGCCACCCTCCCCCCTTCCCCACATTTAACAGGCCATTGAGCCCTGTTCCCGCGCGTGTCCTCAGTGCAGGTGGATCCTCACCAGCTCTGGACCAACGGGCCCAGCCCCATTCCTCGTTGTTATTAAAATAGCACATGCCCAGGACGCGCTCAAAAAATAGCAACCCTCCCTGCTGCTGCGCACCGTGTGCACCCGCTGGGACACCCCCTGTGGTATTCCAGTGACGCCCCATCCTCCCCAGGGTGTGCACAGGACGGCTAGAGCGCTCAGCCTCAGTGTGTATCCATCACAGCCTGTTCCAGCGCGGGCATACATGAGCCCGTCCTCACCTCCAATGGCCCCATGAAAGTGAACTAGTCTACAGATGAGGGGATGGACCATCAGGGGCTGGTAACTTGTCAAGGTCCCAGAGTGGAGATTCAAACCCAGGCCCTGCTCCTGACCCCTCTCCACCCCTCCTGCCTCCACCCACGTGCTCCTTTAGTAAGGAACCACTCCAGCTCCAGGTCAAGGGCCCTGGTCCCTGGCTCCTGCTGGTGCCGCAGCAGCATCACCACCCCACATGGTCTCCCCAGGTGGCCCTCCCCCAGGCTGCTGTGTGTTCTAGGCCTCCACTGACCTTGTCCCCCTGGGGGAGGGCTGCAGCAGGCCCAGCTTCCGTCACCCCCACAGAAGCTCTCCTTGCTCTGTTCACTGGCATTGCCAGCCATCTCCAGCGCCAGGAACTCTGGGCCATGCAGAACCTGCCAGAGCATCTACCCT